CAGCCCTGCACCTTGTTGTCTCGGATTCTCCAGCATCTGCAGTTCCTACTATCTCTGAGGAGTAACCTTAGAGGTTTATAACATCGAGGGGCACAGATAAGGTGAATAGCCAAAGTCTTTTCCCAGGGTAGGGAGTCCAAAACTAGAGGGCACAGGTTTAAAGTGAGATGGGAAAGATTTAAAAGGGACCTGAGGGGACAGCTTTTTCACTCAGAGGGTGGTGCACATATGGAACGAGCTGCCAGAGGAAGTGGATACAATTATAACATTTAAAAGACATTTGGATAGGAAAGGTTTTGAGGGATATGGGCCAATACAGGCAAATGGGACTAGTGTTTCGGAATGCTGGTGGGCATGGATGAGTTTGGCTGAAGGGTCTGATTTCGTGCTGTAAGACTCTATGACACTACAGTCATTATGTATTACACTCTCTTGAAGGACCCCCATTTTTAATACAAGAATGACTTAACCTATGCCATCAAAAATAGGGAAAGGATTAACATGTCTGTACGAGCGGAGGCTCCTTTCTGTAAAACTTGAATAACTAATCTAAAGTACGGGCTGATGTGTTCCCCTCACCAATGGAACACTGACTATTACTGCAGGAGTTCAACTGGTCCCATCAACCAAGAAAAATGGCATGTTGTTTTTGAGATGAAAGAGGTATAGAAACAATATTGATAAACAATAAGTCTCTAATAACATAGAACAACCTCATCATCTGTAATCTGAAACAAAGACCATGTAATGTTACCTGATAACTATTTATAGCTTGATGTTATATATAGATTAGTAATTTTACATGGACAAATTTACTGCTTCTGGCTGTTTATTTTGGAGATTACAGATTAGATCAATTGCATTAGGCGCAAATATTGGTTTAATAATTTATAGATGCTTCAACAATGATTACCTGGACCAGCACTTTTGAGGAATGCTCCTTCAGGGTTGAAAATTGACGACAGGTCTGGCTTCCACAAAAATAATGAAAGGATAAAATAAGAGAGACTTGGGGCAGTTTTTGCAGTGCCCTGAGCGACATGGGCTGTGGTGAGATTTGTAACTATCTCAGATAAGGAATCTGACAGAGCCAGTCTTGACATCCGGAGCATCTCGCTGCATGTATCCACTGAGACAGTGTGGTGAGTTTTCTGCTGGCCAGGGTAAGATACCAAGTTAGGGGGATTATTGCTTGTTAAGTGTTTCGTTGGCGGCACAACTCGCCTCAGTAATATTCAGCTTCCTCTCTTACCAAATGTGCCGAACAAACCAGGCATCGAGAGTTCTCAACATGAAACTCAGAACAGGTAACTAGCAATTTCTACTCGCTGCTGGAATTGGGCCTCCATATTGGACAGTAAGCATCAACTTTTTACGGAACACACTATGGGCACCAGCTGCATGGACCCCCACAGGTAAAGGAACAAATACCAGGAGGTTGTCAGAAAGGCATGGCGTTGGTCGTGGGAGATTTTAATCTACAAATAGATTGGAAAAATCAGATGGGCAAAGGTGGCCTAGATAAATTCGTAGAACAATTTTGGGATAGTTTCTTAGAAGGGCACTTTTTGGAACCAAGCAGTGAGTAGGATATACTAGATCTAGTATTTGTGTAAAGAGAAAGGATTCGTTACTGTCCTCGTAGTAAAAGTGGGTGGCTGTGATCATAAAATGATTGAATTTACATTCAATTTGAGGGAGAGAAGAGTGAATCCAGATTGGTTTTGTAAACTTAATTAAAGGCACTTATACCATCATGAAAGCAGAGTGAACTGGCAAATTAAATATAATTACGCAAAGACAGGTGACAGGGCAGACGATTCAATAGTATGTTTGAAAACAAAGCAACGAA